AAGAGATACATTTTTTCCCTCCTTACAAATGAAGTCATCTGAATTCCCCAAATAAAAATAAATATGAGCCTACCGCTCAGTTCCAGTGGTGCTGCAGAAGGACAGGGCTATAGATTTTCCCAGGAGTGTGGAATAATTCACCAAGGCTGCTCGTTATTCATATAGACAGTGCATTAATAATATGGGACCCTGAGATCTCTTCTTATCTAGGCCGAAGCACAGCTAGAGGGATGAGAAGCTGACTCCTTGGATTTCAAAAAGCATTTTTTCCCCATTCTTCGAGAAATAAGAATTGATTGAAAGTATTTTCACAGAGTGGGGAAAAAAAGGCTTTCTGGTGATACCACCTGAAGTACACATTAGATAAATAGAAAACTATTGGCTTTGTGACTGTGAACTGTTTTCACTTGATGTAAGTGCTGATAGATACAGGATTCTCTCTAACAAAGCATTTACTAAGGACCTGACCCAAAGTCAATAGGAGTCTTTCATTTGACTCTACAAGGCTGGAATCCTGCTCTCAGTCCAGAGAGGGCTGGAAAGTGGCTGTATATCCCATGCCCATCTCTTGGATGGTGCAAGCTGGGGTAGCACCAGTGCTGTGGGAGGATCCATGGGCTGAGGACCAGCTCAGAGACCCACAAGGGGCTGTGCTGCACCTCTGTCCTGAATGTATGCTCACTCTGTAGTAGGTATCTTATCCATAATTTAAAAATTAAACTCAATTAGCTCATGTCAGCAGTGTGGCTGCTCTTACCATCTGCCTTAAGGACTGACATACCAGATATGAAACTTTAATTTGTAGGTCCTGGATGAGAGAAAGGAGAGAAAATGCCAGCAAAAGGAACATGTGCTGGTGAATGATGACCTCTCTCTGCTCCCACTATTGCACATGGAAAAATAAGGATGAGCAGTAGCAACTATCCAGCAGCGTGACTGGAGAGGTGCGAGGTGGCCCACAGAGGCATTAAAAGTCATGGTGCTCCCAGTGGTCACTAGGACTTGTGTCTGGTTTGATAATGCAGTCCTGATGAAGTCTGATCTAAATTCACAGGGCCACGTGGTGGCTGGTGATGGACTATCCTCAAACTAATAGAAATCTGAAGTATGTACCTGCATGATAATATTTCATACACAGTGGAATGATCTGAAACTTCAGGTGATCCAAAGCCAGTCTGTGAGAAAGGGAAACACTGGATTAATTTCATTTTACTGCTCTCTGTCAGTGAATGATTTCCCTTTCCCCTGATGAATGACTGCTATAAAACAGGACAACAGTAGACCATGAAGAAGTAAAACACTAGTCCTGCTGCCCGAGAGCTAATGCTTCAAATCCTGTGTTGCAGACAACATGGAACCAGATCACTTCAGATCTCTGCAGAGACCTATCTTACAAGGAATAATTTAGAAGGAGAAATACTGCACAGCATTTCAGTAGCGACTTCCTTTTTCCTCACTGGTTTTGATGAGTGTTAAAACCACCTCATTTCCTAAAAGCACTGGCAACATGCACAACCTGCATGAAAGTCCCTTTGTGACTGATTTCAAAAGCCAGTGCAGGTGCTTTTCTCTTACTCCGCACTCTGTGGTCCAACAAATTTCACAGATAATTATGCAAGAAATATGAGGTTGCCTGTGAAAGAGCTTAAAATAGACTGGAAGAAGATTGAAGGGAAGGGAACAGAAAAACTGAAACATTTCAAAAGTGTGTCTGAGAGCATCATTGTAACATAGTAAACTTCAGTATAGATGAACAAATTATGTATTATTCAAAAACCTCAAAGAACATACAGACAAAACCACCCACTGACTGTACAGAATGGTTCAATACCACTTTAAAGGGTATGGTAAAAAGCACATTATTTCCAGTATAAAAGTGACAGTAAATTATAAGTATCTTGTATCCCTATTACATTTTTATAGTAATGATATGAAGTATTAAGACTGAGAGAGTATTGTCAGAGCTCTTCTGTTAATACTTAATTCAGCAACCCTGTCAGCTCACTTGGCCTCTGTTCCCCTCCTCTTTTATCCTAGAGCACAGGAAAGGTGGAGACTCCCATGTCCAATCAAACATCCACAACTTTTATAAAGAGTACTAAAATGAACTGCTTAAAAAACCCCAAACAACAAACAGAACAAAGAAAAAAGTAAATGAGGTGGCCACAAGACTGTTTTGCTGATGGAAGCAACCAAAGAAAACTGCAAGTCAAGTGCAGACAAGCCATAAAGAACAATAAAACCCCCAGAAATAAGTGTATTAACCGCTTCCCTGCTGCCACTTGCTCACTGTTGTTCTCTGGCTCCCACAGCCAGCTCTGTTCATGCCACAGAAGAAAATCTGAGCTTATTCAGAAAGGTGACATCAATTTTGCATGAAGATTAGGTCAATGAAGAATGAGAGGTGGACGTTACAGTCCTGACCCAAATATGGCAGTTTTGATACAACCTTTACATTTGATACCGTCACAACAAAGTTATTTAGAAGTTATGAAACCGTGTGTGATGCCAAGATCTGGTAAAACCATCAAACCTAGAGCAATCTGCAGCCCTTTATTTGAACAAAGTGTCTTGGGTTGTAAGAAAGCAAAAACAAAGGCAAAATGCCTTTTCAGGAGGCAGTGTGAGGGCAAATCCCTGAATAATATCTAAATGTTTTGAAAATATGCTGAGTACATCTCAGAAAGTGTAAAACCTAGTGTGAGATTAAATAGTCTTAATCTTTACAATATGGTAGATAAGGAAGGTAGAAAGTTGCAGATGACCTTTTGTACAGAAGAAACAAAAAATCCCAAATCTTTGTGTGAGTAAAAGTAATGACGTCAGTGGGGCCCCGTGGGAAGTTCTGGGAGTTTGCCTTGGCAAGAGCAGACCAACCAAATAGGACGAAGTTTTGACTTAAACAAGGTCAGTATGTCAGAGGTCACAAAGCAAAGCCTGGGATAAAACAAAGGCCAAAGAAAATGTCCCTTGGATTAATTTTTACCAGCAGCATATTGGGCTTTTGAACCCTTCACCAGCCTTCTACAAAAGCAGCTGTGGGCTGACTACCACAACTAAACTTGAAAGGGGAAGACATTCCTTTGTAGTTCACGTTTTCTGGCTTTGAAGTCACAGTGAGTCTTACCAGCGACTTCAATGGGACTTGCTTTACACTTTTATATTACTCATTGTTTTATCCTTATTCCTTTCAAAATTCTAGACAATAACATTTCTTTTTATCGTAATCCTGACGAGCAATTAGGCTTCAGTCCACACCTGCACCCGACTTCTTTCTTAACAAAGCATTCTTTGAGCTTCTCTTCTCTGAACAGAGTTATGAGAGCTGAATTAATGGTGTCTCTCTGCTCTGTCCACTGCCTCTGTTTTTCATGACCTGCTGAAGAACATGAAATTCTTCAATGCTGGTACAGCTGATCTTTGCTTAAGACCAGCTGCAGATTTCACGTAGAGTTTTAGGAGTGTGCTTAGCTGAAAAAGAAAAGATTCTTTCTATCAGGGTAATTAAGCAATAACAGAATGACAGAACGTGGATTAAAGTGTAATCATTCACAGGTGCATTCATAGCAGGGTTTTAGTCATGAGTTCAGAAGCTGAATCACATTCCTAGTGTAACAAGCCATGAAATACTGCTTCATAGCTTAAAAATTTGAAAGTGTTTTGGAAATAAAACATTTCTTTTGTGTCTTTAATACATAAACCAGATAGGCACATGCCATGAATACTTGCTGAGAAAACATGAGGTTCTCATTGCTCCAAGGTACCCCCAACTCTCATCTTTTTGATGTCAAATGTGCAAGACTGAGCTTTGCCTGCACAACCCTCCATTCCACAGCATCCACCAATTCTCCTGTCTAAGGATGGGCTACAACAGGGCCAGCCCCTGCTCCCTTCTCGTGCCTTTGCAGACCGTGATTGAGGGAAGGTACCCAGAGGAAAACATTTTTCCCAGTGTTTGTTTGCACAGCTCTCCCCTCTCGCTCACTTGGAGGGAAGCTGAATGCCAAATGAGGGAAAGTTGGGTGCTTCCAAAACGTGCAGATACACCACCCCCCAGGAGTCCAGCCAAGGAAAGGGTGAGGAGAGCTCAGTGCAGAGCCAACCTCAGCTGCAGCCAAAGCAACCCGTGGCTCTTGGAAGCACCTCTGGGCTGTGGGTTGGTTCAAATAATAGCACAGGACATTTACCATAAAGAACAGCAAGGGGTTTTTACAAGATACTCCACAAAGCTGCTGCACAGAGGGATTCTGCAACACTGAGAAGCTTCTTCGGGAAGGGGAACTAATGGGATTAGTACCACTTACTCCCCATCTTCTTATGTGATTTGTATTTTGCTAAGCCCTTCCAAGCCCTGTTTCCCTCCCCACCTTGCAGCCATGGCAGAGGAACCCCAGAGAGGAAAATACCCTGACGTGAAACCCAGACACCTGATAAGAAACCCAGACACAAATAACATGGTGCTTTTCCTTCAGCAAAACAAAAAATCCCCGTGACAAGCAACAGCACCATTGATTTCAAAAGACAAAGATTTTTTCCAGCTTTTTTTAAATGTTTGTTCCAGGGCAAGAACACAAGATTCATTTCTTTATCTTATTTTGCCACTGGCTTTCCAAATGAAATCAAAATGAATGGCAGTTGTCCTTTGAAATATTTATGAAGCAAACATAATGTGGCCCCGATGGGGCCACCAGGGATAATTTTTGTCCAGTTATTTATTAAGGGCTTCATAATGCCCCAGAATCTCTTGTGCTTATCAAAATACCTATAACTGGGTACTAAACTCCCAGTTTTTTGTTAAATCTTCCCATGACCCACCTGCACAGAACCATGCACAAAAATGGTGCAGGCATGGAAGGTGGTCCAAATATATACTTATCCTTATAGAGTTTTCCATTTTGTTAATTAAAGAACACAACAAAATTCCTATGCATAAAGGATAGACTGGCAGCTATCTACTGGATAGTACACAGAGAAATATATATACAGGAGGAGGTACTTGCCATCAACACAGGAAGGTCTGTTTCTTGTAGTCCCAGCCACTTTCCCAGGTAGACAGGAGCATTTTACTGTTTGTGATCTTTCCTCAATTCGATTCTTATTACAGCATCTGTGTGCTGCTATAACTTCACACGTTCCTCCTTCTGGCAAAAAAAAAAAAAAAAAGGAAGAGAAGAAGAAAAAAGAGAATATTGACACTGATTAGGAAGAGCAGCAGTGGCTAATCAAAGCACCCAGGCATGCTCCTGCCTGTGACTCTGCCTGGCTCCTACACAGGTGGGATTAGGATGTGATTTCTCCCATTACTGTGCTTCCAAATAAGCCAGGTGCTGCTTTGCCTCGTTTTCAATAGAAAATGTAGATAAATGTCCCTTGCCTGTCTTATATTAGAAGCTTCTCTGACACCCACATAATTTTTGGCCTAAAAATGACTGTGTCGAGTTCTGGGCCTGAAGAAATGTAGGTGAAATACTACAGAAAATGTGCAACAACTGTTGACTGATTTTGTGCTTGTAACTAGGGAGGCCTCTTCCATAAATGTTCTCTCATACAAGGACAGGGACTAAGGGAATTCATCTAGAAATAAGATTTTTCTCCAAATATTTGATTCTGTGCTCGTACTCAGCCCTTAGGGAATGACAATGAGTCTCTCCAAATCACAGTGTGGTCCAACAGCACTTCCCTTTGCTACTCCACTCACTAAATTGGCAGTTTTAAGGCAGGAAACATTCCCATTGTGTGCAAGATCACCAGGCTTAATTTGTCTTCTCCCTAATTGTTCTTTACGAGCATTTGCAACAGTTTTATTAGATGGAGAACACAGAGGTGTGATAGACAGATAGACAATGGCTTTGGGTCTGTGAATAGTTGGTGTTTGTGGCATATGCTGAGCACGGAAATGATGTGTCAGGTGTGCCATTCCCCTTCACCTCAGCTCTGCAGTGCAAGGAGACAAACACCACAGTGGGCTAATGCACTGCCCAAGTAATTTCTCCATTCCTCAGTTAAGATTGTATTTAGCTCATAATCACTGAGTGTTTAATAGTGTCAGTCTGTTCCCCACAGATATTTGGCTCCTTTATGAAACTGCAGCATAAATTTGGCAGGATTATTTTAAACTTAGTACAAAACCTCATGCACAGCCCACTGAAGAGCGGGATGTGTAAGAGGCTTTTCCAGAAGAGCATTATTTCTTCACGCCATTGTGAATTGCTAACTGTACAGTTCTTTTGCTACACCACATTATTCATGTCTTTGGCTTTCACTCTTTTTGAACCAATATTGAGAGCCTTTGAACACCCCAGAACCCTGCAGCCAGGTGGGAGGATTAGCAGTGTGGAGATGCTGATCCAGGTCTGGCTGTGAAGAAAGGGGTTTTGGTAGAGGTTTGGGAGTCCAGTGGCATCTCCCAGCTCAGCAGAGAGTCCTGTTACCTGGGGATTCTGCAAATGTGACATTTCTGTGGTGAAGCACTGGGGTAGGCGGGCAGGGACAAATCTCTTCCCTGAGTGTTAAGGTCACGTGGTGATGTGTCATAAGGTGTACCTGGAGCATGAAGAGGTACAACAGCTACCAGTGAACACCCACAAAGTGTGGAAATGCTTCATAATATTAAATTTTAAACCCCCTGACATTCCAAGGTGAGTCAGTGGACGGAAGTGTGGGAACATCCAAGCTAAAGAGCTTGGGTTCTGTGGCCATGGGGTTCAGCACTGGGGTTCTGCAAGCATGAGACTGTGTAGTAAATATTTAAGTCATCTGGACAGACATGCTGCTGCATTTAGTAGTTATCAAGTGCATTTGGCCTGCTGACACAAGCTTTTTGAAAGGCAATAGGTGTCAGAGAAGAGAGATCCCAACAATTCAGAGAGCCATCATCTGACAAACGGCCTTTGAAGTGTCTCTTAGGAGTGAGAGGAATTGTGATAATCAACCCAGCCCCAAATGTTTGCATTTGCTATGAAGTAATCCTTCACATAAACTCCCTGTTCCCCCATCCAAATCATATTGAAAGCAATGAAAGGATCCTCATTGGTTTAATCCATCTTATGGTCATGCCCTAGGAGGAGAAAGATTTGTGATTTTATTGATTGCAACCCCAACAATAAAGATAATGTATGCAGTAATAAGCATTTCTAATTTTAGGCTACACAGACTGTGTGGTAAATATCTGTGAATAACCTAAATGCTTAATTTTCTCTATTAATTTGCTGTATGAGTGCTAATAACCACATGAGCTAGTCTTGCTTATTTGGTTATCTATTCAAAATAATGGGATGTGGTGGAGGAGCTTTATAACACCTTTAATTGTTATGTGGAAGCTGAAGTTGCTGAAGCAATAAAGAATTTAGCTCAAAGTGTATAGCTGTTTAGGAGGGGCAAAACATAATGAAACTATAAAAGCAATGAACCCCCCCCCCCTTTTTTTTTTAACTGCTAGACAGTTAAGCACATTAATTGGAAGTTTTATCTGCACGGATTATAACTGTGCACAAATTATAATAATCATGATAATAGAAAGACCCTTCCCAGAGCTGACACAGAAGAAAAAAATCCATCTCACATGGAGAAAGTTCTGCACGTTACACACCCCGTTTTTCCTGGAAAATTTATTTGTGGGATCAGATTTTTCCATTAGGGCATGTTTGGCCTATGAATGACTGCTGGGTAGCATTGCATACAATGTGTTTTGCTGGTTTATGTTTTACCAGTGATGCATACACGTGTCAGACTTCCAAAAAGCCACATACAAAATGGGAATAGAGGTACCCAGACAGATACAAATGGACAGAGTGAGACTAGGAAAAAACCTTACTGAAAAAGCACACCCTTGACTACATTATTCACAGGAATGTGTATACCACAAATATACTGGGGGTAGGACGTTCAACTTAAAGCTCCATTTCAGGTGTATAAATGAGGAAACAGATTAGAGTGGGGAGAGGAACATGAATCAGTCTTCAGTTTCCACTGAAAAACATTCAAGGTGTTCAGAGGTACAAGCAAAGTACCTCTTTATTCTGTGATTTAAATTTTTTATTTCCTACTTCTTCTCTGGGGGGAGGGGAAGGAGAGCTCCAAGAAATGCTCTAATACCAACATCTGAGGACTTCAGCTCCTGAGCCAGTGTTTGGTTTGGTTTTTTTTTTCTCAGTGGTTCATCTGGATTATGGAAAGACCTGGTGAGAAATTACAGTGCTGGGAGTCCTGAAAAAAAAAAAGTGAATTATTGACCTGATAGGCTGTGAATGCTGCAAATGTCTGAATCCTTGTCACAAAACCCAGAGATGTCTTCTTTTTTTTTTTTTTTTTTTTAAGTTTATGGTCTATTGAGCTATGGTAGCTTCTGGTTTTGATTCCACAGTAACAGCCTCATCCAACTCCTTCAAGTCAATAGGGGATTTGCTTTTGAACTTAAAAGGAGAGGAAAGGGCCTAAAATCCTCTAAGAAAGTGTCTTCTAAATGTTTTGTTGACAGTTACATTTCATGAAGTGGCTGCTTATCCACCTGACAAGAAAAATATCTTTTTCCTTTTTTTTTTTTTAATAATTCCCTTCTGCCCTAAGAAAATCAGAAAAAGCTTAGAAATGGAATAGGAACTTGCAGATCAGGAAGAGCTTTGATCTTCCTTCAAGAAGCTTCAGAGATGAACAAAAATGTCCTTACGTGACTTATATCCTCTTCACACCAAACATTATCAGGACTTGATAGTAAGAACAGCTGATCCTTTCTGAGCACTCAGTGCACAGGATGCCCTCAACTTTGCACGAAGAAAATGTGACACCTACCAAAGCAAGAGGGACAGAACTGGCTGCCAGGAAGTATTCTGGAATGTTGCAGATGGCAGCTATCTGCGTCATTGCAACTCTGCTCGTATTTCCAGGCCTTCCAGAAATCTTGGTTCTGCATAGGCTTAAAACACAAAATTGTGGAAATAACACATCGTTCTTATTGTAAAACAGGGACAACCATTTGCTACCCCTGCTAATGGTTTAATTCTAATTGGAGGACACTAAACTCCTGAAGTTGTGTTCTTTTTTGTCTCTGTTATAAGGCCACCTTGAGTTTACACACTGCAGAGTAAAATATTTTATCGTAAGTATGAGCCTGCTGTGGGAGGCTGTGATTTAAAATATCTAATCACCTCTAAGGTCTGAGTACATGCCTGGCAGAAGCCAAAAAGCCATCTTCTAGTCATCTCTGTTTTTTATATCTCTAGCTGAGGGGTAATAATAAAAGCATATTTTGCACTTCAAAATTATAACTTGCCTCC